TGCTGTCACTTCACTTGACTATTCGTATTTGCTATTTGTAAACTTGACAACAGTCTCTCTTTTTCGTACCTTAAAAAATATGATAAGGAAAACCTGCTGTCAAAATAACAAATAGCAATTAAAGTTATCATTGGATATCGTAAGTTCCAAGCTTGGAATGAATTTCAATGTTTTGGAATAAGTTACAATTATAGGTACTCTGGCTGGCAGGCAGGCTCATAAATATTTGTCAGTATATTCTGTTAATATGAATAGCCAAGTGAAGTTCGGGCGTGATGGCCACTCTTTGACCAAACCAAGTTCATTGGCGATAGCGAGGCGTCCACCGTTGGACCACCTGCCGATTACAAGGCAATCGCTTGGTTGCTTAAATACGTTTTATATTCAGAGATAGAATGACCAGTTTTTGCTGAAGAAATTCACACGCTTTAAACTGAGGAGGAATTCCTCTTAAACAAAGGTTTTTAAAAAAATCTTTGTCATTGACAGGACATTCCTTCTGTCAATCATAATCAATGTTAACTAAAACATTTTGACCAATCTTGACCATTGTTTTTAATTATGCCGCCCGTTCTCAAAATATGCAAATATCGAGTTTTGTAATTTTGCCTTGTAAATTAATCTTCTTCGCCATTAACTAGTTTAGTAAGTCACACGACATAATGTTCACCATTAGAAAACAATGTTACAGTTAATTTTTTTATGCAAAAACAAGTTCTAAAAAGCTTTTGAGGTTACCAAACTATCAACAGTTTCATTATAAATCTAGTTATTATCAGTCGATAAAATAGCATGCGTTGTTGTGACATCATATCTGTTTTTAGTACATTAAGTTTTAGGACACTAACGAAATTACACACTGCTGCGATAAAACCAAAGCAATAGAAGTAGCACGAATTATCGGAATAACGCATACGATACTATCGACAATAATAACACACATATTATGGGCGGGAGGATTTATAGTTTTTCAATAAATCAATAATAAATTTATTATACGTCGGCTTTGAATCTATTTATTATTATGAGATCAAATTGTAACACACACCTGTCACAAAGATACACAAAAACAAAAGATAATTATTTTATACGTCACAACAAACTATCATCACAATTATAATTCCAGCGTGACAATAGTGTTGTAATTTATTCGCAAATTATTACCCATTTACGATTTTCCTAGTACACATTTGTGGCTAAAGGTGCTTATTAATATTATGACGAATCCTTTTATGTTCTCAGACAATAATAGTAAAAAATTCAAGGCAAGTTCTTGGTCAACATAAATGATACACTTTGTACAAGTGGACAATGAGACTACGTTAGTATCGTAGTATCAAGATTCTTTTTATCGCTTGTAATATTAACGTAACAAAAAGAAATTTAAAGTCGATGATAAGCTCTTTTAATTAATTCTTTTTCTGTTTATTTAATAGCAATGATTTTTACTTTGTGTTTATGATAAGTAAGTTATTGCATTTTACCATCGTAAGCCTGCTAATATTCCCACTGTTGGGGCACACAGTACGGGGGGAATTGGTGTGTAGTAACAACTGCAGACCTGGGCTCAACGGCTTAACCGCCTTGGGAAGGACGGAGAAACTCAAGATTAAAGGTTTTTTTGGCCACCCATCCCAACCCAGTCATTGCTTAAGTTGCTTTAAATCCACTATCGCACCTGCGCCATAGAGTCACTTATCTTTGATCATTGAGGGAGGCCATAGCTTGAATTCTAACCTCATGGCAACCTTACACACATGCAAGAATAGTGTATTTGACAAGTTTTAGAAAACGAACTCACGTTATTTACTAATGTTTATAGAGTCCACAAAAAGTGGTTATTCATCATTATGTTGTGCATTTCGGTAAAAAAACCAAATCAATTTTTTTTTTCATGTTGCCGCGAAAAACGTATTTCTGGACAATATGGCATCTCACTGGTTTGTGACGTCACACGACAGTAATTAAAACGTCAAACCATACAATCAAATGTCACTTTAACCGGAAGTTTACTTGCGTGTGACGTCATTTTAGGCTTCACCAATCCCAAGCGTTTTGGGTCACGTGACAATAGACAAGAAAACTATTATCTTTATCGTGGGTTTTTAGTAAAATTATGAATATTTTTTCTGTAAAAATAGTAAAAACTACTGCCAATATTCATTCTAAATACAGATGCTAACAATAGGCACTTTATTTTTAATACTGTCAAATACCCTATACAACACCGATACATAAGCTCCTTTTTAGTAAGAAAGAAGGACATGTAAGGCGCAGCGCACATCAGGGAGGTGCGGCTAAGTTACTACTCATAGTGACTCCCGACCGCAGCCAAGAGTCACGAAGCGGCGTGACCTAGAGCTACGGAGCGGCGCGGCCTAGAGCCACGGAGCGGCGCGGCCTAGAGCCACGGAGCGGCGCGGCCTAGAGCCACGGAGCGGCGCGGCCTAGAGCCACGGAGCGGCGCGGCCTAGAGCCACGGAGCGGCGCGGCCTAGAGCCACGCAGCGGCGCGGCCTAGAGCCACGAAGCCGCTCGGCCTAGAGCCACGTAGCGGCGCGGCCTAGAGCCACGTAGCGAAGCAGTGGCGCGCCAGGTCTTGAAGCCCCTTCCAGCTTCCAGTTCCATGTTTGCCATGAAATTTTCAAACTTATGATATAGGGTTTAACTTAGATAGTTAACTTCTCAGTACCGCGCCACTCCCGGCGTGAGCTGCGGCTGACAGTGTTTTGTTTGCGTCACTCAAATACCATTATATTCGATACAGAAATAAAACATTGTTAAATATTCCAAGAAAGAAGTACTTTATTCTCATCAAAAACTGAATTGAAATCAGCTCAAAGTCCGTTTAATAAATAAGTGTATCACAGAGGGTTCGACTTTAATTTGAAAGAGATTACTATTTGATACCTTCTATCGTGAGGCCAACATCACCTTGTTTTTTCAGGATTATTACATAATATTAAAGTTTTTCTGCGCTATAATAAAATGTATACCTACAGTTAGTCACGTAACAGTTTTTCAATCCGCCTGCTTCGGGTCATGGCTGCCATTACATGCTCCATTGTGGTACTTCCTGCCATTCAAGCGGCTAAGCACTAAAGTGCGTAATTTGTCAAGAAATCTAGGCATAGCCTTTGTTATTATTTCAAACTATTGCAATTTTCCAATATCCTGCTGATAGCACAGTTTCATTACAAAGACTATTGTTTGTATAATGTCATTATTTGGCTTCTTAGTTCAGTTACTTTTCTTTACTTCCACATTTACTGATCGAATGATATCGAAATTTCCTCAATGTAAAGATTGAGTAGTGAAAATTGTTAAAAGAGCTCATGGCTGGCAACAAAAGTTTCCTGTAAGGTTATTCTACAAAAATCCATCCTTTAATCATTATCATCATCAGCCTATTAATGTCCCCACTGCTGAAGCACAGGCCTTCTCTTTGGATGGAATAGGGAGATTAGGCCATGACCCACCACGCGTGCCCAGTGTGGATTGGCGGGTGCTAACGACTGCAGATGCAGCCGGGAACAATGGCTTTTCGTGCCTTCCCAAGCACGGAGGAACTCGAGATAGAAAATTTTTGGTCACCCATCCAATGACCGACCACTGCTAAAGTTGCTTAACTTCAACGATCGCAGCCGAACGCGCTAACCACCCGCGCCATCCTCCTTCATGTAATGGACTATTACATTAAGGGATAGATTTCTTAAAAAAGGTTTTTATAGTTTAATTTAGCATGTCGCATTACATATTTATTTGTTATTAAAAAAAAACAGACCTTATTAAGAGCCATCGGTGATTCAGTGGTAAAAAGCTCGCCTCCTGCGCAGGCCCGGGTTCCAATCCCAGTTGAGCAAGGGCTCTTTTTCTAATAATGATTTTAAAAGTTCCACTTAGACCGTGATTTCATAAAACCACATAATTTTTTATACTCTCGGGATTAACACCGCAGCCGCACTACTCCTGCGGTGACAGGCCCTGGCCTGTCTACATCTTCATGTCATGACGTAGTCACCGGAAAAGGTGCCGGTAACGTTTACACTATGAAGTAAGAAAGAAAGAAAGAAAATCATTTATTGACGACATACATTGACAATTACAATAAATACACAACAAACATAAACATAAGTAAACGACTAGTTTACGATTTGTATGTTTGCCTGTAATGAATAAACTCAGAAACCCTCACCAGACTGATAGCAACCAAAAAACAGACGAATAAGTACCTAGATACTATCTATTCATTAAAGTTATGAAAGCGCCTAATTAATAATTTATAGCAATTTCAATTTTCTGCTCAATTGCAACTCGAGAAACGTATGATAATTGTATTCTTTGTTAGTATACCTAATATTAAAAAACCGCAACTTCTAGAGAATTTACAACTCTACTATTTTGTTTCCTAATATTACAGCTATCAAATATCACTTGTCACATTCGTGTAAACCAATTTTATCGGGTGGGTCAAACCTCTTATATAACTTCTGGAATTGTCCTTTACGACTAGGTTTGCACGTTAAGGTACCGTTTCACGTTTGACATGGAGATGAGGACATGCACTAAGGTGACTGCGACGCGATGGCGATTCGTGTATACAAACTCATATAAACATTATGTCGGAGTTTATTTTTGTATATTTGATTTATCATGACAGTTTCATGATGGTGTTTTACAAACACAATCGATAGATTTTCCAATTTTTGTAGTTTATGTTAAAAGTTTAGTAACATAAAAATGTCGTCACGTCGCAGTCAGTGAGGCAGCGGCGTAATTCTTAAAGTAAAGTGATGGAGTAAGATTTTTCTTTCTTCCTTGAGCTCGATAACCAATCTTTTGTCTTTTGGTTTCTTCCAAAGTTTTGTAATTCAAGTTCTTAGAAAAAATTATGATGATATCTACCGCTTTAATATATGTAATTTTTTAATTTATTTTAAGGGAATTTATACATTTTACATTAGTAAGTTATTAAACAATAAAAAAAAACAATTACATATAGGTATGTACTTATTTTATTTAGGCATTTTTTCTGGTCCCATGTTTACTGTCCAACATACTTCTTCAGTTTTGCATTAAAACCTATATCGTCCATCGACATGCGTTGTTCCTGGGTGCAGTATTCTGTAAACAAAAAAAAACGAACATGTCCTGTTCACATGCGATAGAAGTGAAACCTACAAAAATGTGAAAACGTAAAAGTCCTTTATGATTAGGTACGTCTTAAAGACAATACCTGTGTTAAATTCAACTCTCTAGGTCAAATTTAAATATGTTATAATAAATAATAGCTTAATAAAAGAAAATGACCACCAAACCTACAAACCTACCACCGATCAGTCCCCTAGCACGAACCAATATCGAATTCATATCGTTTGCGAGTCCGAAATGTCATTATCAAATGTGTACTGATTTTTAGTTCTCGTTACGTACTTTGTGCCTCTGCTGTTTAAGTTTCCATACAAAATTTGACATTGACATTTCGGTTTGCAAACTATTCGAATTCGATAATGGTTCGTGCTAGGGGTACAGTACCCTTAAACTCCTCTCTCCCTCTGAAGGAGTAAAACGAGCTTTGGAAGTTTGTATGGAGCATCAAGATTGCGCGGGTAATCCTTTAACTAAATGAGCAAATACCTGTTTCTGGGCTTTTAAAATCAAAAGATAAGGTCTGGGGTAACAGTCTTAAAATCAATATGGCTTTTACGTTTACAAAAAAACCGGGGGCGCTGGTTACGAAAATGACATCTGTTTTATAATTCAACATGGCCAACATGAAATATCATAAACTATCATAATCAATATAATAAATTATGTAGTAGTGTCTCCGCGGTACTGCCTCAAAGTTTTTGCAAAAAGCATTAGGTACTCTCTTTGTGCAGTCGGATAAAAAAAAGTATCCCATGAAAAAGGAATTCCGATGATAAATTAATATTTGAGATCCGTTAGAAACAGTGGAATGCATTCTAATACATTAAACTTGAAAAAGCTAAAGTACCTATATCTAAATGATGTTGACAAGTTACTTACGAACTGTGCTAGGTTCCCAACCGATGAACTCGCCAGTGCGTTCATTTTCAGCCTTAAGCCAATCGTACAAAGGTTGGAAATATTCCAGCACGCCGCTGGCGTCCATATTGCGCTGGCCTGTCAGCATCTCCATTGCTTCTGGCCACGGTTTAGAAGATCCCAACTGCAGCATTTTACTAGAACCAAAACATAGTTTTACTAAATACATACAGGTCAAATTTAAAACATTCTTTTATGAAGTCTGTTAAAAAATCGTTTCAATCCCACTCATATTAAACTTAAGACTTTTTACTGGTAACGAAACAGTCCATATTCCAGCTTTGCATTGAAGAGATATAAGCCATAGGGGAATTTCTGCTCACTCTCTAATTATTAGAGCGCCTGTCTGGGCAAATAACCTCCATTTCACAGAAGAACACTGTAGGATAACTCTGGAGTCTCCAAGAGGTAGGGTTTACAGAATAGATACCTATAGACGCTTCTCTATAGGCTGAGACAGCCGTTTACCATGAGGCAGGTCATCATTCTTGATGTCCAATTACCGTTTATACATAATCAAATACATATGTTGTGTCTATTAATTTGCTGCGGTGCATTCTGATTTATTTTCACCGAGTGTAGCGTATAAAAAACAATTCCATGCTCACCCTAAAGCTTTTCCAGCAGTTTCGCTCTTGTAAATGTCACAATTTGACAAGGTCTTGTTACTGTCTCCAGGGGTGTACTGATCAGCGAGCAGACACAGTGCGCGGTGGAATTGGAACTGTACAATGTACGACACGTAGTATCTGAAACATTAGAAATAGAATTTAGGAAAAGTAGAGAAGTCGAATTGAGAAATGTTCAGTTAAATTAAGTTCCACTTTTAAACGAATATGATAGGCTTGTAACAGAATTTTACAAGATAATGGAACCTGAAAATGATCCAAAGGTTTTTTCAAAAGTCTAGTAAAACTGAAATACCTTGAAATTACTTTGGAACGCTAATAAAATTTATGAACATTTGTGCTGAGAATAAATATGCCTGTGTAAAAACAATCAGTCTGGCTACCTGTAAGCTTAGATTTTATTTCCTACGTAATGGATTTTAATGCAGTTTTAGTTTTCCAAATTTCAGCAATAGATACAAGAGTGATTCAAAAGGATCGTTATTCATAACAAACAAATATTACAGTCTTCACAGAATTACTTCTGCTAAAGCTGAAATTGCTGAATGGGAAATCACAAACTTACCTCATGTACTCAACGTCTGCCGAAATGTGATACTTGGCAGCAGGGTCGAAGTCTTCCTCAGATCTTGGCGCCGGGGGTTCGACACCTTGCACAGATTCCCGGAGCTGCCAGAAGTGACAGTTGTAGTCCCTAGGAGCGGTGATGCCACGGAACACGCTGTAGCGGAACAGGTCGAGCAGGTATCCGAATGGCAGGAACACTATCTTGTCTAGGCCCTGAAATATACAAGTATAACCTAAAACCAATTCCTTATCTCTTTGTTGTAAAGCCTGGGACTAGCGAATTTCAGTGATTAAGATGATCCATTTTTCGCAAATTGATATTAACCAATGAACCTGTAAAGAGCTGAGGAGTTCAGTATCTCACACACTACATGATGCTGCATCATTACTTAAAGGTAAAATTCTTTTGTTTATTCAAGGTGCTTTGCTTTTTGTACCGTATTGATGTCTTGGCTGTCACACGTCTTTTACATTGGTGTTAATACTGCTATATTTTAAATCAATAATAACTGTGGTGATTTTTCAGACTCTTGTTAAACTCCTCAACAAAGCTTCATAAATAAAAGCCAGGAATCATCTCAATCAGTCCCTTCGTTTAGAAGATACGATGCTACGGATATACACGCAAATACACAGACACACAGGCACGTCAAACTTAACACCCTTCTTTTTACGTCAAGGGGTTGAAAACTTCTTGCAAATAACTTTCTAAGTTGAGACATAGTTGATCTATAAAAACTGTTGAAAATATTTAGTTTTATATTAGTTTACTTACCATTTTGTACAGTTGATTGATATTAGATTCCTGATCATCTACACCATCTTCTAAGAGACCCATCACTCTTAAATGCTTCGGAGACGATACTGAGAGGGCAATGACATCACCTACAGCCTCGTGAAAACCTAAAAAATCACATATTTGAGTAAAAGTAAGAATATTACTACTTCAATGGACTGAATTTAGCCATAATTGTTGTTTCAAAATAAAATATCCAGATAAACTCTTTCCACCTTGTTGAAAAACGCGGACTAAAGTTACTCATGGTTTAAACACAATGCTAACTGTGTCTTCTTTATAGCAAACAAAAGTGTCAGCAACCAGGCTTAAACTTTAGTCTACGTTCTGTAATAAGGCGGTTAAACTTTATGCTATCGTGTAGATATGAAAACGACAGTGGTTGTCTCCTTATTATAGCCAGTACCGAAAATAAACGAGATGAGGCACATCGAGTACCATCGAGAAATTTGCCCCTAGGTCAGTACAAAGAGGATTTAAAAAATCCTTACCAGGGTTAGCTCCACCTCTGTAAATTACTGGTTGATCCTTATATTGTAAATAGTACTGGATGTGTCCCATCTCATGGTGCGTAGTCTTGAAGAATGCAGCAGTTATTGTGGTACATTGTTTGATCCTAGAAGAATAAGGATATAGTTACCGGCATTCGCTCCCGCTCTATAGATGACAGGCTGATCTTTGTATTGTAGATAATATTGAATATGGCCCATTTCATGATGGGTGGTCGTGAAGAATTCACTTGTGATCGTTGTGCATTGTTTGATCCTACAAGAGGGATGTTTTTATTGGCCAATTGAATTGTCTTTGGTATAACCGAAGCAGACTCCTTGGTGAAAAGGTCTAAAAGCAATGCTTTTGCAAAACCCAAACCGAAACAAGTAAGTAAGACAAAAAAGTCTCAGCAATAAATTATTTTGTTTTTTATTGTAAAAGCTGTTCTAACTCTATTGTGCCAGTGTCCATAATTAAACCTTCGTAATTTTCATAGCCATGATTAGTTACTCACCTAAAGTCTTCGCCGTCGAAGAAATCCCAAGCCGAAGCATGGCAAACCATGTCTCTTCCATCATTGGGCTTTTCTATTATGGATTTGTCCCAAAACAGATCCGGCATTGGACTCAATGTAAGCGATGTGAAGAATTCTTCAGCAGTTTGGAACATTTTTAGTGGTGTATAGTTCTGAAAAAACATAACAAAATAAAACAAAATTCACGCCACAGAACTGTTACTTTTTATTGCGATATTATGCTTTGGTAATTTTGTCTTATTAAAAAAAATGGATTCGTGTAACTTATGTACGCGCGTGAGAAGTTTCTTCTTTAGCATCATTAAAAATATTATTTAATTGCATGCAAATAATTAATAATTACAATAAAATAATAAAAGGACTGGAAAAGGATAGTTAACATAGTCAATTAAGTTCAGTTTTAATTTGAAAAATTAAATAATATTCAAAATATTCAATGAAAATCACTACTGAATTTAAGTTATTAGTCCATATGTAATTAGCACTTGTAAGTAACTAAAACACGCTGTGTCTATATAGAAACTAGAAACATGTGGATAAATATTATAAATATGAAAACAGTGATCAGAGGCGACGAGCGTGCCAATATTGTTTTTGACAACGCGATCATCTTATTTATGGAGCTCCGTGGATCGTTCAAAGTACCTTTCGAACAGATGTCTAATAATGGTGGATTATTAACCACTAAGTGGTTATAAACATTCATAACGCGCCCGCGGCCAACTTCATGGTATTACTATTGTGTTACAGTGATGCGCGCGCATCTCGAAATTTCACTCACATGATTTTTTCATAACGCGCCCGCGGCCAACTTCATGCTGTTACTTTTGGGTTACAGTGATGCGCGCGCATCTAAAAATTTCACTCTCATCATTTTTTCATAACGCGCCTAAAGAAGTATAACTTCAATAAAAATAAATTGGATGGATGGTTTTTATGAACATTATTTAAATTCTCCTTGAAAATAAAATAAAAATATTAAAATAAATCAATTTCCAGAAATCTCAATGGCATCAAGTCATTATATTAAACTTTTTTCTCTTATTTACGTAATCATTATTCATTAATAAAACATTTACCTGAGCTATTAAAGCGGCAGTGATGTCAACCTCAGGTTTGTCAGGGAATGGCTTAGTGAACTTTTCAACGTTCGACCAAGTCTGTGCCCAAATATTACCTGTAAAACAACCATTTCAAAATAATATACCTATTATAAATAATATACTTCTTATCATTTACAAACCTTCTGACAAATATTGAGGTCAGAGTAGACATTATTTTACGCATGACAAAAAACATTATTAAGTAAGTAGTAGATCTTGTGGAAAAAACGCTGGTCAAATCTTATAAATGAAATGTAAATGAATTTGAGTAGAATATTGAGGGTTTACTTAAACAATTGTTTCATATTATTATGTAAAGGTGTGTAATGTTAAGGTATCGATAGCTCTCTGACCATTACGTCAGAGAATTCCCCGGAAAGCGAATGATGTTGGCTAATTTTCAGTCAGATACCTGGGTCGATTCGGATTCCTTGTATTAACATATTTTTTTAATCTACCCGCTAAACGCATTAACAACATCATAATCAAAACTCATTTGACATCTTACCTAAGAGATGAGCTGGAATAGGTCCCTTGGCTGATACAACATTTTCACCATACTTCTGCCTCAACTTCCCACGTACATACGCATGGATTTGTTGGTACAGGGGCTTTATCTGACTCCACAAAGTAGCGAATTCATCTTCGTTCTTCATTTCATATTCGTTTAACCAAAACTCAGCCATGGTGTCATAGCCTAAAAGAATTATGGAAAATTCACTTTAGTTATTCAGTTTTCATGAGAAATACCCAAAATACGAATATATAGAAATAAGTAATAGCGCAGATTTACCATACAACCAGATCAGAGATAATATGGAAAAGTAGGTATTAGCTCTTCTCTGGGTTGGCATAGACTACGGGACCCAGATGGTTAGCAGAGATAAACACCACAAAGAAATACCTTTAAATGGTGAGTAAAGATTCAGGGCTCGACAGGGTAGGAGATGAGGTCAGGGTAGGCAGCGGCGCAAGTAATACTGTACGGTATCGCAAGCGTCTACAGGCTATGGTGTCTGCTTACCATTAGGCGGGTTATAGGGTTATTTGCCATAGTTTGTACTTAAATATGTATACTGTACCATTTAGTTTAGCGGCTTCGTTGTCCATCGCAATGTACTCAGTGAAATTGCCCCTGGACGGTGCCCCTGCAGCTTTGTGCCATTCGATCCAGGTGTATTTCAGTTCCTCGGGGTCTTCGCTGTTTGCGAATATGTCTGTTACCTCTAAAACAAACCATTAAAACATTTTAGAACCTATCTTTGACAAAAATTTAATGTTTTATTATAGAACTAAAATTCCCTATTTTTATTGTACGAGTATATTATTTTTAAAGTGAAGGTATTGCTAAAGTTGTTACTGTTGAATTTCCTCATATTACAAACAAGTACAACAAGACTCTGTCCTTATGCCTAGGGAAGACTAGTTTTAAAACAGCACTGCAAAGATGTTGCGCTGCTTTGAAACCAGTCCACAGTTCAGATGGCAACCTCGTATATAAAGACAGCTTTTATTGTAATAATAAGAAGAAAATGGTTCTGCTACATACCAGGTTCCACGTGAAGGTCACATTTCGTCCGATCCTTGTAATCGCAAATAGTGGCCTTAGCATAATTTGTCTGCATGTTGTTCACAGCCTGTATGAGCCGCTGGTTCAAGTCTTCAGGCAACGCAGATGTGCCCAACTCTGAGTATTTCTTGAACATCCTCTTGAGGTCTTGGTCTTCAAACTCATGCCAGAGGTAACTCATTGTTTCCTTCCAAGCTTCCTTTTCTTCTTCTGCCACTTCTAATGAGATTTGCAACTGAAATGTAAGTAAACAGTATGCAATAAAGGTAGTGTATCTTCAGTAAATTAAAAGTTTTTTATTTTGCGTTATCTAAAACTGATACACTTTGTGGTTACCTGATACATGGCCTACAGTACCAAGAAATGATAAGACGATTTACGGCAAATTTCAAAGACAAAAGCAAAGACGCACGCTTAGTATTTCTATAAAGAGACGTGTTGCATCTTAAGACAGTTACTGACGCTACAAGCTATGCTCCTAGGTAATTGACTTGAATAGATCTTACTTGGTAGTCTTTACAACAGATTTATTAGAAAACTTACCATTTGCTCCTGATTGTAATTTGTAATATTGCTCTGATAGTTCCAGGAAGCTATGGTCAGCCTGTTCTTAGCTTGAGATGTGGCTTCGTCGAGCTTCCTCATGTATTGCCTCCCTGCTGCCTCCTCCGCCTGCCTCTCCGCTGCCCGACCCTGGGCTGCCACCACGAAGACCGATGCTATAGCCCCGAGTAGGGCTAACTCGCCGATGATCTTCATTATTAACTATCACAAGAAAGAGCAAATTCTTATATTTTTTGCTGAAACACTATATCGTTTCTCAATGAAATGTGGATGCCATTCAAATTACACCAATATAATCATTTTTCTAAATAATGATGACTTATCCACTCGAATATTCTTAAAAATTGTTTTTAGTATGTCGCAAAACTTTATGACTATTTTTTAAATAATAAATTGATTGAACTCACAGAAGGTTCAGGAGCCGATACAACTGCACTACCTCAGATGATACAATAAACTTGATTCCGAGATGCGCTTACAATAAATAAAATGAGAACAGCAAAAACAACTCCACAAACCATGTCAAGGTAGGTTTTTAAGCTAGTAAAAAAAGGCTATTTACTCCATTTTTAGCTACCTACCTAACACGTTCTACTTGGTCAGAGAAACAAATTACAACTTGAATGAATAACCTTTAGCAAGAAGATATCATACTATAATGATAAAGCCTTTCTGCAGCTGATCAAATTATGCAAATTTCTGCATAATTTCTATCTGGCAGGATCTTGTTGCTCCATAATTCAATTCAATTCTTCATTGCATATCCATCCTTATACACCGTAAATTTTGAGTTATCCGGGAAACTTGAAAATCGTGTAAAAAGAATATAGTACCTATGAGCAGTTTTAAACATTAGACGTACTATATCCCCATACAAAAATATTGATTTATATCGTTTACAAAATATCGTAAACCCGCAAAAGTTTGTAAATAACATTATAATAATTAAAATGGTTAATCAATTGGTTAGCGCGTTCGGCTGCGATCGTTGAAGTTAAACAACTTTCCCAGTGGTCGGTCATTGGATTAGTAACCAAAAATTTACTCCTCCATGCTTCGGATGGCACGTGAAGCTGTTGGTCCCGGTTTCATCTGCAGTCGTCAGCACCTACCAATCCGCACTGGGCCCGCGTGGTGGGTCATGGCCCAATCTCCCTATTCCATCCATAGGGAAGGCCTGTGTCCCAACAGTGGGGACATTAATACGCTGATGATGATGATGATGAAAATGGTTAAGGCTTCATAATTTCAGAAATAGTGAGTTGACGTGGAGACATTAAAAAAAACATTTCAAAAAATATTTTATTTTGCTGAGAAATAGTCATAATTTTTGTCTTAATTAGTTGGTAAAGTTTCTCAAGTAACTCAAAATTCACGGTGTATTATTCATTTGGCTTAACACACGGCATAATCTCCTTTAAACGATATTTTTTTTTATATAATCATTGTTTGCCGAATGTTTATACTTACGAATTTAGAATGGCATAATTTTATTGACCAGCTACCTGTTTATAATCCTACTCATACTATAATTTTGAAAGTTTGTATGTTTGTTACTCAATCACGCAAAAACTACTGAACGGATTTGGATGGAATTTGGTACGCATATATTTTATGACCTGGATTGAGACAGATATATTTTCTCTTCATTTTTCTCTCTCTCTTTATCTCGGAAAAGTGTTAAGTTCCTGAGGGATTGTAAAAAACTAAAGTTAACGCGGCCAAGGTCGCTGGCGGCCGCTATTAGATAAATTAACAAGGAAATTATTAAATCTGAAGAAAATGCTATCGCTTCTTTCAAATGTTTAATACTTGTAAAAGTATTCATTTGACATTGTGGGTTACCTATAATGCGAGGAGATGACGCTGCCTGGCAGCTTAAGAATGGCTAGAAGAATTTCGACGCGGCCATCAGGGCCGTGGTAGCATAATTGGTCAGTGCATTCGCCCGGATTGCGAAGGGTGCGGGTTCGAGTCCCGTCCACTGCCTGGCCCGCGTAGATTTTTTTCTAGTTATATTTTATTTAGATTTAAACATCAAGCAGTTACATGCTTAAAAATAAAAATTATAACTAAAGGAAATGATTGTCTACGAGAATGTAAATATCAGGCGATACATATCTATTATAAGCATATTTTTAACTCTTGGACTCCAGAGACTGGTGAAAATAAAGGCTTCGTTTATTCTACAACAAGCAAATATTACACGGAACGTAAGTACAGGTCTAGCACTTATAAAGCTAGATTTGAAACTTTTTCTTCCTTATATTTATCATAACCAAACAACTATTTTTCAGCTCAATTTTTCAGCACATTCGAAAATGTATAGTAAATTTAATAATCCCAAAGTTTGTAAGAAAACAAGAATTTCGTAATGTGGAGTAAGATCAAAGGTATAGATATCATATTACTAATCTTCACAATCGGACATAAGTACCTATCACTATGATGTTAGATTATAATATACTCTCAAAACGATACTAAACAATCTTTTATCTTAACAATATTAAGTGTGTTGAATAAATGAATAAAAAATAAAAAAAAATCTTATATCAGAATGGTCCGTAGAAGATATTACTATCAATAGGGTATTTGACAAGTTTTAGAAAACGATCTCACGTTATTCACTAATGTTTATAGAGTCCATTTAAAGTCGATATTCATAATTATATTGTATATTTCGGTAAAAAAACTAATTCAAAAACTCTATTTTCAAGTTGCCGCGGAAAACGTATCTCTGGACAATATGGCGGCTCACTGGAGTGTGACGTCACACGACTGTCATTAAAACGTCAAACCATACAATCAAATGTCACTTTAACCGGAAGTTTACTTGCGTGTGACGTCATTTTAGGCTCCACCAATCCAAAGCGTTTTGGGTCACGTGACAATAGACAAAACTATTATCTTTATCGTGGGTTTTTAGTAAAATTATGAATATTTTTTCTGTAAAAATAGTAAAAACTCCTGCCAATATTCATTCTAAATACAGATGCTAACAATTGGCACTTTATTTTTAATACTGTCAAATACCCTATTGAAAATTAGTTTTTAGGTTTCCGTAGTCCTGACAAGGCACCCTTGAGGTTTCGTTATATCCGTCTGTCCGTCCCCGGTTTTGATTGGAAACTAACTAGCACTAGAGAGCTGTAATTTTGTGGAGATTTTAATATCGATCACGCCGACAAAATGGTAGAATAAAATTTTGAAAAACGTAGCTACCCTACATGTAACCTGGGGATGATTTTCTTTAATCGTTTTCCCCATCGTGTAGGATATGGTTGAATAGTTCCTTTAGAATTACTTAGGGGTGCCTAATACTATTTCCGATGTAGGGATCCGTTTGCGAAATATTGAACTTTAAAGTGCTAATTTTTGATCGAATTCGGCTCCCTCTAAAATCTAAACTATTGATTTGAAAAACCTGGAGAAATTCATGAACTTTTAGGAGAAGCTATAACGGTTAAGACAGATTTGTTAGTTTAATTATAGTAATAGTCATTCAACTTTGTTTAAAAAAAATCTTACCTATTGAAAATTCCTTAGAAGAAAACATTTATAGTGACATAGACGAAGTTATTGTAGCGTAAAACCTTGTATTGCAACAAAATAAAAATGAACTATTTAAAAACTACAATAAAATAACATTATATCCACAACGCTACCTCGAGTACCAACGGCAACGGCTTCTGCGTCGCGCTAACGTTATGTTTTTATAAAAAACTAGTTGTCCGCCCTCGCTTCGCTCCGGTGTAGATCTGTAGTGTAGACTAAAACAACTCTTCATTTAATTATAAAAAAAACTGAAAATGGTGTATTTGCCTTTTCCAAAGTTATTGAAATCACGTCACTCAATTGTTTTGCCTTCCCAGAACCTCTCCACTAACATTTGAAATTTATGGTATGGTATTAAAGTTCAAATTGACTTTTATGTATTATTACGAATCGTTTGTATGGGAGTATAGAAAAGTGTTGTGTTTGGACTTTTTCAGGCATTTTTTTTTAATTTTCTCTGCGTAAGAACCATCCTCGTACTTCAAGGAATATTCTAAAAAAATAATTATCGAAATCGGTTCAGCTGTTCTCGAGATTTGCGCTTAGCACATTCTGCGATTAATTTTTATATTATAGACTAGTGGCCCGCCCTCGCTTCGCTTCGGTGTAGAGCTGTAGTGTAGACTAAAATGACTCTTCATATTATTTAATTTATTAAATTGACATTTTAAGTATTATTACGAATCGTTTGTAAGGGAGTATAGAAAAGTGTTGTTTTTGGACTTTATCAGGCATTTAAGTAAGAGATTATGTAAGAACCTCCCCGTACTTCAAGAAATATTCTAAAAAGAAGAATTATCGAAATCTGTTCAGCTGTTCTCGAGATTTGCGCTTAGCAACACATTCAGCGATTAATTTTTATATTATAGACTAGTGGCCCGCCCTCGCTTCGCTTCGGTGTAGAGCTGAAGTGTAGACTACAGTTATTGTTCTCAGGCTTGTATTATACACAATGACATTCTTCTTATACCTACCGCTGCCGCGACCCGTGTCGAGCGCGGCAACCGTTACACAAAAATAATCCTTATAGCATGATTCAGTATTCACGTGCGACGGCGCGATGGCTTATTTCATGTGTAAGTTTGGTGTTTCTATACCGATTTCTATGATTCTTTTTTTATTGAATAGGTAATAATGTTAACTTTTTTAAATTAGGGATGAGTGAGAGTATTATAAACGTAAGAGTAAACAAATATAATCAGAATGCTCCGAACTGCTAAGCTATCAGGAGTTACATGTGTTATTGTGAGTCAACCATAAAAGATAGACATATGCTGTTGCGGGATATTTTTTAGACAATTTTTTGTAGAATATTTCCGTCATACATGATTTCTATGTAACTTTAACCGTTAAGGCTGCACACTCGACGGAAGCTTAAAAATGGAGTAACTTCTCCCGTTTTCCCAACATTTCCCTTCACTACTCTGCTCCTATTGATTGTCGCGTGATGAAAAGTATACTATAACCTGCCCAGGAGTATGAAGAATAATTGTACCAAGTTTCGTTAAAATCCGTCGAGTAGTTTTTGTTTCTATAAGGAACATACAGACAGACAGACAGACAGACAAAAATTTTACTGATTGAATTTTTGGCATCAGTATCGATCAATAATCACCCCCTGATAGTTATTTTGAAAATATATTTCATGTACAGAATTGACCTCTCTACAGATTTATTATAAGTATAGATATATAAGCACTTGAAAAGATCGGCGGCTATACCGCATCATCCCCTCATCAGGGGATGATCGCTTCAGATGAAACTTATAAGGCCCTTCTGGCCATAAGCATGAACTACGAGTACGAGTCTGACATAACCTTGCAGCCGGCTATAGGCATCCATAAGGATTTCACATCCGCTCCCCGCCTCAGAGGAAACAAAAAAAAATCGGCGGTTGATTTTGAGTTTGAGACGGAGTTTGACTTTGATTTAGGTGTTTTAGTTGAGATGCATAGATTGATATTAATTATTTTTTCTAATTATACGAGACGATATAGAAAATAAAGACTCCTGCTCATATATATTTTTGTAACTGCAGGCAACTACGGAACCCTACACTGCGCGTGGCACGACACGCACTTTACCGGTTATTTTACAATATAATCTAATGCTGGCCTCTTCACAATCGTCTCAACCATTTTATACACTAGGGCTAAGTGTAGGACTGTATTACAAAGGGTACAGTATAACATAAGGAGTCTTTCAGTATCATGACAGCTGCTTAACGTGACGGCATCTAAATAAAATAAATAAATATTTCCAACACGCCTAGCCCGAAAGTAAGAACTGTAGGTTTGTGTTATGGGATACTAGGGTAACGGAAAGAATACATATACTGAAACATATATGAGTATATTTATATAGAAATACATATTAAACATCCATCCATGACTGGAGAAAAAAGGCTCATATTCATCACACAAACATCTGTCCCCACCGGGATTCGAACCCTCTCGAGTAGGCGACACCTCGAACACGGAGGTCATCGATGTGATGAGATATGAAAGTAATAAAACAAGTCAAGACAGGCTATAGAAAAAGGCAGAGATATTCCTTATGTTACACTGTGCCCCGTTACACGGTCCCTATTTGGTTTTTTTATTACGCAGGAAAAACCTCCATTAACTGACGTTGGCTCCCTTAAGGGGTACACCAACGAACGGACCTCACACCTAGCCAAATAAATTGACACACAAGTTGACAAAATCTATCTATCTAACAATATCGTCAATAACGATTACTCACAAACAATATTCTTTTGGTTTTCTCACTGCAATATCCACAAGGCATTTTGTTATAATTTAACTAATATCACAGAGTTTACGACAAAAATGTTCGAGACGTTTGAAGCCAATTAGCGGTAAGTACTGAAAACAAAATTTTTCGGTGTTGTCCGTTTATTATGTAAATGAATTAACGTGTTAGCCTGTCCGTCATGCTTTTAGAGTTGAAAAACTTGTCATAAGACAACAATGATTGAAAATTATACTTTGGACGGTAGAGAGTCTCTTTGTACACAAAAGTAAGTAACTACATACGCGTTACTTAAAACTAACTAAGTATACAATTTTATAAAATATGGCATATTTCTTTAAATTATTAATCATTAAAACAAAAATAAGTATGTCATATTTTAATAGACATATGAAGAGATGGAGTGAAGCGGATAGAAGTTCCATTGTAGAGATGGTTGTAAATATGCTTTAGATGAAAAAAGTGTGATAAAAAGAACGCAACGCAATCATCTAAACTTACCAGAAAAATCTTTTTAAGTGTACAACCCTGTACTAATTGAGGGTTGGTTTCTGGGGGTTGATTGACAGGGGGGGTTTCTTAAATAAAAAAAAACTCGTTCCCTATTTCCACAGATCGCTGCGGGCCAATTTATTCGCAATTTTGAACCTTATTCATCTATCATAAGTATGTTATTACACTGCGCCCCGTTACACGGTCCCTATTTGGCTTTTTTATTACGCAGGAAAAACCTCCATTTACAGACGTTGCACAGTGTTTTATAGAACCAAAAATATTTACACCTTAAGGTTTTTGCGTAAATCAATTATTTAAACCCTAATAAAGGCAAGAGTTCAATTCCCAGATCACTATTTTAAGTAAAAAAAAAGATATGAAGTAGCAAAGTTTTTGAAATTTGCGCATGAAAAAATTAACAATTTAATTTCCTCAAAAGACGGTTCCATATCTGTCCATGAGATATTTGCCAATTGCTAAGGAATTATTGATGGCATAATTTTGTAATTTTATTTTATTTATAAGTGTCCTAGTTTCCAAGAAATATAGTTTTTTTAAATTTCGAGTTTTAATTTTTTTCTCCAAAAATCGGCAAAAGTGGAACCTGGATTTAGTACAGAAAGGTACCATAAAAAAATCAAGTTTCACTTTTGCGGTTTTAAGAAGTTATGACAGAATTTAGATAAAGGTCAACTTTCATGATCTAGGGTTGTCACAAAGGTCAACTATGAGTTAAATGAAAATGTTATTTTTTTTTTAACAATGCCGTCAATCAATTAAATAAATTATATTATATTATAATTGAATAAGTGTAGTACTTATAGACGAATACAATATACTTACATATACTACCTACCTAATGTAGATGTGATAATGTAGGAATACTTTATGTTTTAATTTTGACGACCACATTTTAATTTTGCCTTACACGCTAAATGGCAACGAAAAAATAAACTATGTTGTTTGAAAAAATTTAACACACATCCTATACTATAAACGAGCAATTATTGTATGTACCTATATAAATATATTGGTATGTAATTGGTTTCTCGGAAACGGATCTAACGATTGTGATGAAATTTTGGATTTAGAAATTCATTCACATTTAAAATCAATCTAGGATAGTGTCATCACCTGCCGGCACCTTCTTTATGCAACACATCTACTTTAACTTTTATACAAATAAATCATCTTCGTTTAATAATTCTAGGTTGCTTGCATTTGCGACGTTCGAAAAATCTTCATCTTCAGCATCTTCCTCTGCTTCGAATAACGGCAAACGATCTGCATCAATTGGTTGTAAGAGCTCGCAAACAGCTGAAGGCAAGGGAAATCGCTTAGAATATTTTCGACGTTGGCTGATATTTGCCATAGAAATAAACGGGTCTGATGATTCTAGGGCACGGTGAAAGAGGTCCGTCATTGTGGTTCTCCTGTTCATTTTTCGGCAATGATGCTCTCTGTCTGAACGCCAGAATTTATTTCAGGACTCAGCTGCTTGTTCAGATAGCATACCGATGGGCAGTGCACTGGACGCAATAATTTCTTCACCGTGCATGAGGATTTTATGAACTGTTACTGTCATCGGGTGCCAACTATAAAAACGGACATATTTTTCAGCCAATGTGCGACAAAAGTTGCCAAATTTTTTTGCGTCTATGGCAAACTCGCACGATATCGTGACTAGCACAATATGTAGTCCTTCTACGAGCCAAGGTTCCAGACCTAATATATCGGTGAAGATTGCTTGGTTTTTATCAGATAATGCAGTCTTGGCCGTATTTCCGTCATTTGTTGTCCCGGAATTAGATTTGACAACGTCGACGAGTAACCCGAGTTTACTTCTCAAATCGGTCTGAACTTGAATTTTCCGTCGTTCACCGATTTCACTTTCCTTAGAGTTCTTATTTATTCGCCATTTTCTCACTAACGCATCGTTTTTGTAGCTAAGATGCAGTAAAAACTCCAATATACGAATCCAGGCATGTAGAGGATTAATGCCATGGCGCATAGTTTCTTTTGCCGTCGGTGCTACCTGAGCAAGATCCAAATAATTAAATTGGCTAGCCGTGATTTTGCAAAATGGGCACCTAAACTGGGAAGATGTCCCGGTAATTATATTAAGTACCTTTCCATCTATCACGCTTAAAGTCAGATCACATGAAAATGTAACGTTATGCCCTTGAGATGTTTTAACGCTTATTGGGGTCAATTCATGTATTTGCTTCTCTACCTGACTTTTTTCCGTTAGAATTAGATTAGCTGTTTCTTTTTCATATTGAATGTGCAACGGTCTACAAAACCGGTATGACTGCGGAGTAGGATTTACCCATATTTCGAAATTGTCCACGACGATACGCAAAGGTACTAAAGTAGTGGCAAACAGACTATTCCCTTGAACCTTTTCTTTTGCAGTATTCATTAAATGCCGAATCACTACTGAGCACAATACGCTCAATCGTGTGTTGTAATAGTCCTTGTACGGAAACAGATGCATCTACTTCGGATATTTTCAAATTTTACTAGAGTACCTTTAACATATTTTTATGGGCTCCAAGCTTTATATGCAAAAAAGGAACGCTTATGGTGATTCCCAGTCAAGGCGGAAGTCATTATGATGAATATCCATTTTCGCTACTTCATATCTTTTTTTTTACTTAAAATAGTGATCTGGGAATTGAACTCTTGCCTTTATTAGGGTTTAAATAATTGATTTATGCAAAAACCTTAAGGTGTAAATATTTTTGGTTCAATAAAACACTCGGTGTCAACCCTAGCATAAAAATTTAAAAATTAATATCTTCTAATCGCCGCAAAAGTGACACGTGGCTTATTTATGTATGATAGACCACATCCGTAGGTTTATTTCTATCTAAGTTCTAGGTTCCACTTTTTCGTTTTTAGGGAGAAAAATCAATAAATACGAAATACAAAAAAAAATGCTGCTCCCAAACCAATGCATTTTTTTAAGCTAAAGAAACGCGATTATACGCCTCTGATTATGCCCGATTGACACATATTTATTAAAAAAATATATTGTTAATATTCACTTTATAAAAAAATATTCTAGATTTCATAGGTCAAAGGTCACGATAAGTTCATGATTTTTTTTCACAAAAAGTATTTGAGTTAGACTTCTGTAAATTGAACTCATGCCTTTTTTAGGGTATAAATAATCTATTTATGTAAAAACCTGAATATGTAAATTTTTTTGGCTCCATAAAACACTGTGCGTTGGCGCCCTTAAGGGGCACAGCGCGATTTAGAACATATACCCGAACATTTGACAGATTTTATTAGCACCATCTTTCGTAACCAAATGGTACTAAATACATATCAAAGCCAAAATAAACATTTTTTAAGGTTGAACATTAAGAAAAAATATCGTGTCTGAAGATTCTTCTCTAACGCATGAAACTGTTCAAGTACAATCCTCTACATATGAATGAGTCCGCTTTAGCACCAATACACAAGTGCTACAATACGACATACTATGCTATTGTAACTTGACCTACAGCCAATCTCTTAACAATATCACGGGGCATATTGAATCGATTCATTCTCCATTGAGCTTGTACGTAACTACGAATAGGAATTTGAAGTCGTTAACGTATGTTGCGTAAATCAAAACAAACAGTAGTAAGTATTGTAAATAAATTTTGGACAACATCACCAAATATCGTGATGAAGCTAACTGAAAATCTTTAATAGTATATTTTACTAGAAACTATACACTGGGTTCAGCTTTCAGATGGGATCTAGCAGGGAAATATGTAACAGTTAAATGCTTAAACTAAGGAAGTAACAATAACCGTCCATACTTTTGTTAGAGACTATAAAAAATTGCGTTTCCATTAATCCGACTGCTAATTTCTTTCGCACACACGTGTCACGGCTCGAAGACTTTTCAGTATTTACGAAGTATCCTTAACTATTCTTCTAAAAGAAGGAATTTTAGTACAAGCAATCTTCATCGCCTGCACAGCTATTCTATAAGAACGAAGTCACATTTCACCTCGGAATCCGCAGTGTGACTTAATATTAGAAAATTTCAAATAAATTTCAACGCTACCACTAATTCCACAACACCCTTTGTTTGACTGGTAGAGAATGCCTACGGCATTAAGTTCGCCTTTTTACACTTGAGCATTAAGTATCAATAAAATAAATTAAAAAAAAAACATGTGATTTGTCCATAAAGAACAGTACTGCTGATGTCAAGAACCGATTGTAGAAAACCGTGATTTGGTTAATAACGGAAGGAAAGTGATTAATTAATAAAAGATCTGTAAATATTTCAATTGGGGATATTGGTTAATTAAATGATTAAAATGTCTACTTACTGTAAAGCTTTCACTTTTCGAAATCTCATTCCAAGTGGCGCGGCACAAGAAATCTTCTCAAGCTTAGTTCCTTCAAAAGAAAAATGGCCAATATTTCCTGTAGGTTACTACTGGCTTGCCAGTCGGCGATCGAATGAGCAGCCAATGACCTTTCAATTACCACAACAATCCTTAACGTCCTTCTAGAGGTATGATCAGGAACCAGTAAACACATCCAATGTCAGACACCGTGTGCATATTAACTAGAAGAGGAGCTTAGTGCACGGCTGATTTTACACTGTCGCGATCATAAGGAAAATGTGGTCGAGGAAAATTTTCTTATAATTTAGTAATATAAACCTTGGTTTTCTTTTTTTCAAGTTCCGAGTTGTCCATCCGTCTATCTATCTATAGGCATGAAGTTAACTAATGCTATGATTTTATTTATTTTTTTAAGCATTTAACTGCTAGATGTTTAAATCTAAAGAAAAGTTTACTAGAAAAAAATCCACGCGGACCAGGCAGCGGACGGGACTCGAACCCGCATCCTTCGCTATCCGGGCGAATGCACTGACCATTATGCTACCACGGCCCTATTAGCCGCTTCGAAATTTTCCTAGCCTTAAGCTGCAAGGCAGCGCCATCTCTTCGCATTGTAGGTAACCCACAATGTCAAATGAATACTTTTTCAAGTATTAAACATTTGAAAGAAGAAATAGCAATTATAGTTATGATTTTATTTATTTTTTTAAGCATTTAACTGCTAGATGTTTAAATCTAAAGAAAAGTTTACTAGAAAACTAATGCTTTCACAACATACATAAAAACACAATTTTAATAGAGATACTCTGGATACCTACTCTATTTCAACGAAAAACGAAATTTCGATTGAAATTTCGCACGTTCCTTACTCTGTTTCCTTTCATTTCGAAAATTCGTTCGTCCGAAATTAGTTTGACAATTAAATTCTCAAAGCCTACTCTAATTCACAAAACTTTCGAATGAAATGTTGAATTTGACAGATAATTTTTCGAAATTTTGACCTCAAATTGACAAAATGAAAAGTGTTGTCTTTTCATTTTCGTTTTGAGATTTTTGTTTTAATTAAGCCTAAAATGCATGCAAGAGTATTTTTAAATCAAGACTGCTTAGCTCGAGGAACATTTTTTAGCATGTAAAATTAACAATAAAATCCATTTTTTTATTATTTATTGTAATTCCAATACTTCAAAGTATTAAACGACTTTAGGTTGACATAAAATAGATTGTATCAACTCTACAAATTAGTCGGCTAACACTGTCAAAGAAGGTTCTTTCAATGTCATCAAAAATTTTGCCGTAAACTACCTATGTTGTTTCCAAGTAAAAAAATCGCATACGTCAATTAGACTTACCATCAGCTGTGCCATCAGGGAGACCATTATAATATTATCCTTTTTTACACCATTCTAACATAAATATTCATAAAAATAAATTAATTCATTTGCTGCCTCCGATTTAGAAAAAACGTCTAACGAAGTAAGGAAGCATCATGGATATCGGTAAGGCTTAGTGAAACGGAAAAGATATACCAGCTAAATTAACATTCTAATTACTCTTAATTATGCTCATTATTTTAAGTGACAAAGCACTTTTGCAATTGCTATTGTATTAACTTCTTTCACTGACTTTGTAAAGTGTTTGTAAAATTATCACAATTACAATAATTTCTAGAGTTAGGCAGATTTGCTTGGATCAAGCGATGCAGACTTTTTTTTTATTTGATAAAACCTACGCAAGACTATTCATAATTCATTATTATTAATGATTTAAGAATGGGTAAATATTGTATCGTTTAATTTAATTCATATTATTCATAATTTATTGTTCTTTGTAATTAAATAATTTAAGTTTACAATCAAATGTTTAAATACAATTTAATTATCTTTTTTTACGTAAGATAAGTTGATGTCGTTCTAACCAATGCATGCGGAGCTAACCTGTAAGTGTCTACTGTAGTCATTTTCCATGAGCATAATGTAATTTAGGCTAAGCTTTTCTGATAAAAGACGTTAGTTAGTCAAATAAATACACTAAATAATACCTTAATTTGTTTTAAAAAAACGAGTGCTTATGACCACACGACTGAAGTGAAACTTCTTTAGCTCTGCACTATATATATATATATATATATATATATATATATATATATATATATATACTACTAGCTGACCCAGCGTACTTTGTATCGCCATAAAAATATGGGTGGTAAAAAGGTGAAAATTTTGTACTGTATGTATTTTTTAATGCCACATTATATAAAAAAAAATTAGGAATGGACAATCCTTATCGCTTAGGGGTATGAAAAATAGATAGTAGCCGATTCTCAGACCTACTGAATATGTATATGAAATTTCATCAAAATCGGTTCAGCCATTCGGGAGGAGTATGGCAATTAACATTGTGACACGAGAATTTTATATATAAGATATATATGTATATGTGTGTGTGTGTGTGTACAATACATACATGTATGTACATATAAATATTATAATTTCATTTACTAGCTATAAGAGAAAGAGAGAAAGAAAATGTGCGTGCGCACTGCTTTCTGTTGCTTATATCCTCCATTGAACTACCGTTCGCCTCGCCCGAACACACTTATCGTAACGCGTAACGCATTCGCCCCAAGTCAGGCGTGCGTAAAGAAGTTTCACATCAAAAATTATTTCGTTTACCTCATTAACATCATCATGAATAAAGTTAGACACTGCCTTTGCATTTAGAACCTCCAGGTTCACACAAGGCGATTTAAATTGATCAACTTTTATCGTACAACTGCTTTTGTTCAATAACATTGTTTCATTTTCATTGAAATCTGTTCAGACAGTTCAAATTGCGATTTAACAGTTGATCAACCAAAATCGCATCCGAATCATGAACCCGGGTTCACACGGGTTTTCGTTGATGTGTAGTACCGGTATTACTCATCAACAGAAACAAAACACCACCAAATAGTCTGGTCAATCTAGAAACTCAAAGGTACATAAACTTACATCAAGCTGGAAAATAGTGAAATTGATCAAAACATAATTAAAAATAACATTTCAAAATTCCCCACCGTTCCGGTACTTCGGACTACTATCAACAATAATCATAGCGTTATGTCATATGGCCTTTTGTTGTGGGGCACAGCTGCTAATATAGAAAGTATTTTCGTACTGCAAAAGAGAGCTGTTCGCGCCATGT